AAAGCCCGACTCTGCTGATGAGGCACTGCGTGTCGAAACCAGACCTTGGTTACAAACATCTGTCAGATCATCAGCATTTGTCGATGCAATTCCGCACTGCTGATGAGACACTGCGTGTCGAAACCAGACCTTGGTTACAAACATCTGTCAGATCATCAGCATTGGTCGATGCAATTCCGCATAGCTGATGAGACACTGCGTGTCGAAACCAGACCTTGGTTACAAACATCTGTCAGATCGTCAGCATTGGTCGATGGAATTTCCACATTGCTGATGAGACACTGCGTGTCGAAACCAGACCTTGGTTACAAACATCTGTCAGATCGTCAGCATTGGTCGATGCTATTCCGCACAGCTGATGAGACACTGCGTGTCGAAACCGACCTTGGTTACAAACATCTGTCAGATCATCAGCATTGGTCGATGGAATTTCCACATTGCTGATGAGACACTGCGTGTCGAAACCGGACCTTGGTTACAAACATCTGTCAGATCATCAGCATTGGTCGATGCAATTCCGCACTGCTGATGAGACACTGCGTGTCGAAACCGGACCTTGGTTACAAACATCTGCCAGATCATCAGCATTGGTCGATGGAATTTCCGCACAGCTGATGAGACACTGCGTGTCGAAACCAGACCTTGGTTACGGCAGTTACACCAGTATTCGTTTCAATTTGCCAGTCGTCGTACGGGCGAGATGGTCACTGGTGCTGCTGCTGTGGTCTCGCCTAGGGGCACCCCCAGTAGCAGCTTCCCCTGTGTGGCACGAAGTGACTTTGGTACAGGCAAAGGAGGTCTAATGATGTAGGTGCTCACCACGAGCCCTCGTTACTCTGATAGGAGCATCGTCCTCTGGTCCAGCACCAATTGAGACGAGGCTCAAAAGAAAGCGGTCTCTGGTGTGGACCAATCGGTTTCAAGGACAGTGCATCATAAATTACACTGGTCAACAACAACAAAAACATGTTTTTCTGGCCTGGACTTTTGCAGCTGTTCTAGACTAATTTCAGGGTGCCGATTCCAAATCTGATCTCAGATTTGCTCTATCACATCTCATTTTTATGCTATCGGCATACCCCGTTTTCATTGATTTTACCCGAAATTAACTCTGTCACTTATGATTGCAAGTTGTTGTTGCGAGTCAGTGACTGCTTTAGTGTTAAAATATGGTGCTGTATTTTTAGGATAGTGAGTTTATAATAGAATTTTATGTAGATATCCACATTTATTTAATATTTTTCTTCCGCAGTTTTTATTGAAAATGCAATATTTGATATCTCAAAAACCTGATGTGATAGACAAAAACTGATGGCAGATTTGGAATCAGCACCCCAAAATTAAATTTGTCACGAACGCTTTCGCAATCAACATCACAAGTGACGTGATCACACCTAGAGCTCTATTCAAGGAATGAAACGGGAGGATTTGTTCACTAATCTGGCTGCGTGCCTGTTGTAGTTGGTGGCGAAACGTCGTGCCCGGATTGTCAATGTTGTGGTTTGGCTCTCCGACGCACAACCAGTGTTGCTGTACTAGTATACAGTACTACACTACATTATACACTACACTACACAAAATACTATACACTGCACTATACACAACACTACACACTACACTATACACTACACTCTACACTACACTATACACTACACTATACACTACTACACACTACACTACACACTACACAAAATAATATACACTACACTATATACACGACACTACTATACACAATACACTACACACTAGTGCTGTACTAGTATACTACACTATACACTACACTATACACTACACTATACACTACTATACACTACACACTACACTATACACTACACTATATACACTACTATACACTACACTATACACTAACTATACACTACACTATACACTACACTATACACTATATACACTATACACTACACTATACACGACATTACTATACACTACACTATACACTACACTATACACTAGTGCTGTACTATACACTACACGACTATACACTATACACTACTATACACTATACACTACACTATACACTACACTATACACTACTATACACTACACTACTATACACTATACACTACACTATACAATACACAACTATGCACTACACTATACACTACACTACACATTACACTACACACTACTATACACTACACTACTATACACTACACACACTACACACTAGTGCTGTACTTGTATACTACACTATACACTACTATACACTACACTACACATTAGTGCTGTACTAGTAACGAATTGGCCACGTTGTGTTTACGCGACAACCCTCGCTAATAGTCTGTGTCGCGTGATGTAATGACGACACATTCCTATTTTCGCGATCTAACCCACGCAAAAAAAACCCCTCTCTACTATGGATAAGGGCGCTTTCTAAATGTAAGTTATGATGATGATGAGTCTGCTGATGCCAGGACGGAGTGATGATGTCTGCTGCTGCTGCTACGTGTGTCATCCCACGTTGAGAAATCTTATTATTTTTGCGGCTCGGATTATTCAAATGCCAAATTTGTCCCGCGACTCATTCAGACTGGCGCCGCGGGGGTCTTTCACGTCTCACTGTGACGATTCGTCGGTGTTGTTGTTGTTGTCGATGTGGTTGTCAACGCACACCGCCCGATGCTTGAGATGATAATCCGAGGCGAGCTTAGCGAAGCCTCCACAAACAACGCCTGTGATGTAACTGTGTGTACAGGTGTGTGTGTGTGTGTACAGGTGTGTGTGGAGGTGTGTGTAGCTGTGTGTGTAGCTGTGTGTACCTGTGTGTGTAGCTGTGTGTGTGTCCAGGTGTGTGTGTAGCTTTGTGTACAGGTGTGCGTGTAGCTGTATGTGTGCGTGTACCTGTGTGTGTGTACCTGTGTGTGTGTGTGTACCTGTGTGTGGACAGGTGTGCGTGTAGCTGTGTGTACAGGTGTATGTGTAGGTGTGTGTACAGGTGTGCGTGTACCTATGTGTGTGTGTACCTGTGTGTGTGTACAGGTGTGCGTGTACCTGTGCGTGTGTGCACAGGTGTGTGTACCTGTGTGTGTGTGTACAGGTGTGTGTGTAGCTGTGTGTACAGGTGTGTGTGTGTACAGGTGTGTGTCTAGTTGTGTGTAGAGGTGTGTGTGTAGGTGTGTGTGTAGGTGTGTGTGTAGGTGTGTGTGTAGGTGTGTGTGTACTTGTGTGTGTACAGGTGTGTGTGTGTAGCTGTGTGTACAGGTGTGTGTGTGTACAGGTGTGTGTCTAGCTGTGTGTAGAGGTGTGTGTAGGTGTGTGTGTGTAGCTGTGTGTGTAGCTGTGTGTGTAGCTGTGTGTGCGTGTACCTGTGTGTGTGTACCTGTGTGTGTAGGTGTGTGTGTAGCTGTGTGTGTGTGCAGGTGTGTGTGTAGGTGTGTGTGTAGCTGTGTGTGTGTACAGGTGTGTGTGTGTGTAGCTGTGTGTGTAGGTGTGTGTGTAGAGGTGTGTGTGTGTAGCTGTGTGTACAGGTGTGTGTATGTACAGGTGTGTGTGTGTACAGGTGTGTGTGTGGCTGTGTGTGTGTAGCTGTGTGTGTGTGTACCTGTGTGTACAGGTGTGTGTAGCTGTGTGTGTGTACAGGTGTGGTGCTGGCCACCCACCCCCTCGTGTGCCACGGGTGCCAGCCTCCATAGGCGAACAGCACTTGCCCCTACAGTCTGCTAGAGGCTACCCGGGGGACATTTGTCATTGTGCAGGTGTGATGGAAACGTTGTGTAAACGTTTGGATTATCGGGCAACTGCTGCCAACGAACAAACACGAAACGTCTCACCTCCCTCCCATTAACCACTCACGTGGTGTGTAGGGTTCAATGTACAGAGGTGGATGTGGTGGTCCAAATGTCTTGTGACCCGTACCACCACCACCCCACCTACCCATCACCACTACCCTGCCCACCACCCCCCCTCCCCTCCACCCCCCCTTCCCTCCACCACCCCCCCTACCCACCACCACCACCCCCCCTACCCACCACCACCACCCCCCCTCCCCACCACCACCACCCCCCCTCCCCACCACCACCACCCCCCCTACCCACCACCACCCCCATTGATTATAATCCATTAAAAAATATTGCTTTCGTCCATTGCATATTCATTCATATTTCAAATCAACCATACTTTATAAATAAATATAAGTGTGTGTACACGTTCGGTTGTGGAGCTTTAAACGGGGCTCACAAGACGTCTGGGCCCACTCCATGCAGAGTCGAGGTTTGGCTCTATACACATTATAACACGGGCTATTGATGTGGTGCTTAAAGGTGAGCGAGCGGGTGAGCGAGCGGGTGAGCGAGCGGGTGAGCGAGCGGGTGAGCGAGCGGGTGAGCGAGCGGGTGAGCGAGCGGGTGAGCGAGCGGGTGAGCGAGCGGGTGAGCGAGCGGGTGAGCGAGCGGGTGAGCGAGCGGGCGTGTGGGTGTGTGGGTGAGCGGGCGGGTTAGTGTGTGGGTGAGTGTGTGGGTGAGCGAGCGGGTGAGTGTGTGGGTGAGTGTGTGGGTGTGTGGGTGAGCGAGCGGGTGAGCGTGAGTGTGGTGAGTGTGGTGAGTGTGTGGGTGAGTGTGTGGGTGAGTGTGTGGGTGAGTGTGTGGGTGAGTGTGTGGGTGAGTGTGTGGGTGAGTGTGGTGGGTGTGTGGGTGAGTGTATTGGTGAGTGTGTGGCGAGTGTGCAGGTGAGTGTATGGATGAGTGTGGTGAGTGTGTGGGTGAGTGTGGTGTGTGGGTGTGGTGTGTGGGTGAGTGTGTGGGTGAGTGTATGAGTGAGTGTATGGGTGAGTGAGTGTGTAGGTGAGTGTATGAGTGAGTGTATGAGTGAGTGTGTGAGTGAGTGTATGAGTGAGTGTACGGGTGAGTGAGTGGGTGAGTGTGTGAGTGAGTGTATGAGTGAGTGTATGAGTGAGTGTCTGGGTGAGTGAGTGAGTGTATGAGTGAGTGTGTGGGTGAGTGTGTGGGTGAGTGAGTGTGTGGGTGAGTGTGTGAGTGAGTGCTCACCGTGGCTGGAGGGGGTCTTTCGGCCATGTCCATAGGCGAGTGAGACGGCTGGTGAGCAGCTGGTGAGGATCTGGTGAGCAGCCGGTAAGAAGCCGGTGAGCGATTCGAATGTTTTTCCTCCTTCCCCGAGGCCCTGGGTCCAACTCAATGGGTCCCTCCCCCTCACCTCCCCCGCCCCTCCCCCCTCCCCCTCACCCCCTCCCCTCCCCCTCGCCCCTCCCCCTCACCCCCTCCTCGCCCCCCCTCCCTCCCTCCCCCTCCCTCCCCTCCCCCTCACCTCCCCCTCGCCCCACCCCCTCACCCCCCTCCCCTCCGCCCCTCCCCCTCGCCCCACCCCCTCACCCCCCCCGCCCCTCCCCCTCACCCCCCCCGCCCCACCCCCTCGCCCCACCCCCTCACCCCCCCCCCCCCCCCCGCCCCTCCCCCTCACCCCCCCCCGTCCCTCCCCCTCACCCCCACCTCACCTCCCCCTCACCTCCGTCTCAGGCCTACTCGTTCACAAAGACAAAGGTGCCCCGTGTAGCCTCTACAGACTGTCGGGGCAAGTGCTGTTAGCGACACCTGTGAAGGCCACACGAGGGGGGGTGGGTGGCCAGCACTACGCCCGGCCGCCTTTGTCTCCCCAGTGACGATGTTTACTACACACAACGCTACGCCAGGTACACTCGTTTGAGGCCGAGTCGACCTAGGGGAGGCCCAGGGATCCGGTTCTGATCAATCGTCACCGGTGTTGGCTCTGAGCGGGAATCGAACTCGGGTCGCCGGGTTCGTGGCGCGGCGTAGCGCTAACCGCTGCACCACCGCTCCCCACTCGTGAAGACACACGCGATGACGTCACCGCCACTCACCTAGGTAACAGTGTGGCGCGATGACGTCAGAATCGCCGACCCCCACCGCCAGGTGAGGGGGCGCGAGTGATGATGTCACGGAACCAACCGCTCAGAGAGGTGGGCGGGGCTTGCTGAAGGCTTCCCGCCAACGCGGCGCGTGACGTCACTGGCCGCATGACGTCATCGCGACGAACACAAAAAATAACCGCCTACCCCCATCCCCTTTCCCACTCGGCTCGTGACGTCACCGCGGCGCGTTTGCGATAATGACGTCATGCACGCCCCGGCCACCACGATCGTGTTGCGTGACGTCACCGCGGCCCGTTTGCGATAATGACGTCATACACGCCACCGCCACCCCGATCGTGTTGCGTGACGTCACCGCGGCCCGTTTGCGATAATGACGTCATACACGCCCTGGCCACCCTGATCGTGTTGCGTAACGTCACCGCGGCTCGTTTGCGATAATGACGTCATGCACGCCCCGGCCACCCCGATCGTGTTGCGTGACGTCACCGCGGCCCGTTTGCGATAATGACGTCATACACGCCACCGCCACCCCGATCGGTCCACATGTCTTGTGACCCCCCCCCTCCCCAATGAATTCTGTAAAATGTAAACATTTTATTAAACGTTTCTTTAAAACAGAAATGAATATGCAATGAGAAAAAAATGTAAGGAGTAAATGAATTTGGGGGGGGGGGGGTAACAAGACATTTGGACCACCCTTTACAAATTTCTATTCTCCCAGACGTTGCCACTAGACGGCAGTAGACACGTGTTTGTGTGTGTTTGTGTGTGTCTGTCTGTGTGTGTGTGGTGTCTGTGTGTGTGTCTGTGTGTGTGTTTGTGTGTGTGGTGTCTGTGTGTGTGTCTGTGTGTGTGTTTGTGTGTGTGTGTCTGTGCGTGTGTTTGTGTGTACGTGTCTGTGTGTGTGTGTGTTTGAGCAGTTGGAGGCAGTCGCCCTCCAGCAACAACGGAGGGCGGAGGAGCGACGCTCACAACAACGAGCGGAGTGCCGGGTGGCTAAAGCACAGCAAGTTGGTACAGTAGGGGGCACAGGTGGTGCATCAGCCAGTCATCTCGGTCATCTCGGTCAGTCGACCCGTGGCACCTGCTGGGTCTGCCCCGTGACCTCCTGCCAGCGGGCGTTGGACACTTCACGTGGTAGCCTCAAGGTGCACTTGGCCTGGCACAAGCGTCGTGGTGACGTCACCGCCACTTAGTGGCGAATGGCGGTTGTTGTTGTTGTGTTGTGTGTTTGTGTGCATATGTGTGTTTGTGTGTTTGTGTGTGTGTTTGTGTGTGCGTGTGTATATTTGTGTGTGTATTTGTGTGTATATCTGTGTGTGCGTGTGTTTTGTGCGTTTGTGTGTATTTGTGTGTATATGTGTGTGTGTGTTTGTGTGTGCGTGTGTATATTTGTGTGTGTATTTGTGTGTATATCTGTGTGTGCGTGTGTTTTGTGCGTTTGTGTGTATTTGTGTGTATATGTGTGTGTGTGTTTGTGTGTGCGTGTGTATATTTGTGTGTGTATTTGTGTGTATATCTGTGTGTGCGTGTGTTTTGTGCGTTTGTGTGTATTTGTGTGTATATGTGTGTGTGTTTGTGTGTGCGTGTGTATATTTGTGTGTGCGCGTGTGTTGTGTGTTTGTTTGTGTGTTTGTGTGAACGTCGCGGCTCCGCGCATCGTTTCGGGCCTGGCGCGACGTCCGATGTTTCGAGCTGCGAGGCTTCTCCAGGAAACCCAGTTGGGCTCCTGGTAACTAAAATTAAAATTATAACAAAAATAAAATAACAGGAATAATAACCAGCACCCACAGCTGGAGAAACTTCACTCGGCGCGTTTTGGTGACGCACCTTTGAATCTCCCTCTCCCTGCATGCGTGCGCGTGTGTGCGCACAGTTGTGGAGAGAGTGGAGAGTTTCCCATACCTGGGCAGTGTGTTTAACCAGGCAGGATTGTGCGAGGAGCTCACAAATCCTTGACAGATCTGGACAAAGTCGAATCAGTGAGCTGTGTTGGCTGGGTCATGTAGCCCGCATGCCCAGCCACCGCATGCCCGGCCACCGCATGCCCGGCCACCGCATGCCCGGCCACCGCATGCCCGGCCACCGCATGCCCGGCCACCGCATGCCCGGCCACCGCATGCCCGGCCACCGCATGCCTGAACAGCTTTTGTTTGGCTGGATAGAGGGAGCTGATCGGGCGCCGCACAGACTAGAGACGAGATGGAGTGATGTGGTACAGGAGGACGTGGAGCTGAGTGGACTTGCTGATGACCGGTACCAGCGGTGTCAAGATCGGCCTCTGTGGAGGAGGCTCATGAAGGACGCTGCTACTGGGCAGTGCCAGGCTTGGTGCACCTTGACGCTACTGGGCAGTTGGAGGCAGTTGCCCTTCAACAACGGAGGGCGGAGGAGCGACGCTCACAACAACGATAGGGGCGCCGGGTGGCTAAAGCACAGCAAGTTGGCACAGTAGGGGGCACAGGTGGTGCATCAGCCAGTCATCTCGGTCATCTCGGTCAGTCGACCCGTGGCACCTGCTGGGTCTGCCCCGTGACCTCCTGCCGGCGGGCGTTCGACACTTCACGTGGCCTCAACGTGCACATAGCCTGGCACAAGCGTCGTGGTGACGTTGTGGGGGCCGTTGGCCCCCAGGGTCTACCCCGACTGCATCTCCGGGCTCGTTTGCGTTACCGCACCGCCCTAATACCCGCTAGGGTTTCGCCGGCATTCGAACGCGACGCCTCCACTCACACAGCCCCGCGCAGCGCTCACACGCTGCGAGCGTACGTACGCACAGCACCTTTCGCATGTACACACAGCACCGCGCGCGTCCACACTTCTCGTCGAAACCACACGAGGCTACGATCAGTCATTAATGATTTATTATCGGCTGCCTGCGATTTGCTGTTAAATCAGTGTGGGTCGACAAGGCTGACCTATGCCAACGCCCCAAGGGTCTATTCCCGGTGTATCTAACTCGATGCGCTCCAAGCGGATTTGGATACTCCTTCACCTCTCTACTCACGGTTGGATGCGCTCGGCATTCCGCTGGTCTCGTCCTCGCCGCTCACCTCGACGCGTCGCACGGACGTTCGGGTGGCCGAGCCGGAAGCCGTCTCTCGAGCGCTGACTTTTTGGAGTAAGAAAGCGTTTTACCTCCCTGCGTCCTCTTTTTATTAAATCCTTTATATTAAGTTCACTTGCTTGCTTGCTTGCGCGCTTACGACCGTGCAAATCTTTCAGTCGTTTTTTAACCCACTTCCCGTGATCCAATCGAGCTGACATTTTGCACACAGACTCGTTGTGCGTGACAATTTATTTTCGTGAAATTTTCTTTCCAAAATTTTCCACTTTTTAGGAATTTTTTTTTAATTTAATTTAAAATACCAATGTGATAAAAATGAAACTCTTACTCAAGAAAAACAGAAATTAATAATAAAATAAAACCGATGCCACGCATATAAAGGATTTATAGTGAAAAACTTTGTTTTTACGGGTAAATTTTTTATCCCCCATCTACATCAAAGAATGCCGACACGAGCGCCTTCTCGGCCAATCAGGTCGTCACGCTCATTCAGCCCCATTCCCGATTGCTCTAACAATGGGTCCCCCGCCGATTGCGGCGCCGATCCACGGGCGCCTTTGTTATGCCAATCAGCCGCCCCCCCCCCTGGCTTCTCCCTTTGTTCATGGCCGCGGACCCCTGTCTGCCTTGTCGTTACGTGTGTGTGGGGGATGCGTTTCAACCGTGGTGGCTGGACAGCCCCCGCCGTGACCATGCGATCTCAACCCAGGTCACAGCGCCGCGGTGCGAAGCAGCATCGGGGGAGGTTGCCCAATTCCCTGGCCGCAGGAAACCGTGAAGATTATCCCTACGAGGGCTTTCGGGTGAAAACCGGCCGGCCAGGTGACCTCCCCTCGGAGCTCTATTGGAGGGGAATGCGTGACGGTGTGTTTATGTGGGGGGCGGTGAGGGGGAAGCGGGGTCGGCCCCGTCGCTTGGTGGTGACGAGGTCGTAGATGGGGCGCCCGCCGAGCGGCTTCGTAGCGGCGGCATCACTTCGCCCCCCGAGGTGCCGGTCCCCGTCCCGGGTTGACTGGAGCACCTCGCCTGAGCCGCACCCACGAGGAAGCGT